TTTTTTTCCTTAAGATGAAAAATTGGTATTTCAGATGAATGATTCGTTGCTTGTGCCAATATTTGAGGCGTTTTCTCATTTTTCGAAAAATACACTCATCAGTTTCATTAATAACTCGAAGCTGCATTTCTCTAGTGATATAATTATGAATCTGGTAATTACTTAGCTTCTAACATGTAGTTTATTATTTTGCCGACAACAAATTATTTTTGGATTCTTTTATATAAGATATTCATTCATTTTCTTAGACGAAAATCCATTGGAACTCTTTAATCATTGTTATTGGTGAGATTTGAAAGGATTGATGTGCTAGCAGTTTACCATTATAGTTTAATCCAGTTTGCAGCTCGTAAACTTCAAGATTGAGAAATGGAATGAATTTAATTAAATAACTCGTCTAACGCTTTGAAATATGAGATTTTATGGAGTGAATAAGAACTGAGTAAAATTTGAATTTAATGTTTTAAATTTTAATTCATTTCGATTTACGAAGTTTTATATTATCTATCCATAAATTATTTCAGTTCACGACAAATCTGCTCATATCATTGTTGGTTTGCTGTTCACGTCATGATTGTCCTTTGGATACATATTTTTGTGCTACTACTCTGTCTTCACTAATTAAACCATGCTCACAGGAAGTTAAATGTTCTTTGGGACAGTATATTGTTTTGACGTTAGCTGATGTTAAAATACTTGATACCTGGTCAGCTATTAATATTACCGGTTATCATGGATCAGCTGTGCAGAAACTTATTCAAAATTTGCAACTTACCTGTAAGCTTCAGGGATCGAGTAATTGAATGATTTTTTCTTGTCGAAAATTTGTTTTTTTCAAAATTTTGCTGTTTAAATATGATTTTACTTGTACTTTGTTCTTTTTTACTTATATATAATCATTTTAATGTTGTCTATATTTTTTTGTATCAATTTATTCTTTATTTTATAGTGTGTTTATCCAAATCGACAGTTATTGTCCAATGAATAATGCAACCACTTCAAATTATTTCCGTGCTATTGCCTTACCGGAACTATGTTGTACTTGAACGATCACATAGTCTGCATAATATCAGCGTGGCATTCTAACTAATTATTTCATCATTAATAGATGAATACCGAGCTCAAAATTGATTTAAATTTAATAAGTCTTAATTGCAGCTTTATATTTCCTTTGAAGTATCGAGATTTCTGTTATATGATTTAAAAAAGTCTTTTTCTAATTATCTTTTATGTTAGTATTTTTTAATGTGCAGTTTGGTTTTTGGTCAAGAAATAAGAGGCTTGCTATGATATAGAGGTACAACAACGTCAGTTTTTCGTTTCGCTTAAGAGCATCCAATGTTTTTATCAAATAGCATGATAAAAGGAAATATTTTTATTTTTTGGATTTTTAAAGAGAGATATTTTTGTTTTTACATTTAAATTTATGGTATTTTTTTTATATCTATTACTTTTGAGTTTTCCCTTTGTAATCTTCATATTTTTGTAATGTTTATCTCATATTCTGGTGCACAAATTTCAAATAAAATCAACTTTAATTAAATCGGCTGGAGGGGAAATATTGTTATGAGTTGAGATGTAATCTTTGAAATCAAGTATAGGCAAGAAAATCTATGCATTTGCTAAGTAACAAGTAGAAACTTTCTTGTAAATAAATTTATCTTTCGGCGAATACTTCATATTGATTTGTATTTACCCTACGTTGCATCCTCAACTTTAGTAAAAGTTCCTCTCTCAGTCATTTCTTAGATTGTTTCGATTTAAATTTTTGCCTCTGTTTTTATTTGTATTAGTTACTTCAATTTATTTGCAAATTTTATATTTCTATGTTCTTATGCTATCTAACTCTCACGTTTCTTCTACATTTATTTTAGAAGCTAAATTGATTGCAAAAATCTTTGTGTTTGTTATTTTTGTATGCCGTATGATTGTCATTTTTTTAAAAGATTGGTCGAATTTTTTTGAAGTTTCTAGTAATTCTAATGTACTTCAACATTCAAAGTCGGAAAATGCATGTGCACGTTAGTTTTTAAGTTACACATTATTGCAGATTACTGTCGTTGTACGAAATATATCCATTGTTCCACATCATTTTGTTTATTTTGCAGCAGGTTAATTATCCACATATGGAATTTTTATATACAATAGCTGTTTCATTATTTTTAATATTGACGAGTTGCAATGTGCAATCCATAAAATTATTCGAGTCCAAAATTATACAGTTTAGAGCAGGAATCCTGGCGCTAACTAAATTTTAGCCCATCAAGATCATATAATTTAGATGTCATAGTACTACATAGATTTCTAGTGATCTCGTTTAATCATTTATTAAAATTTGGTTGATAGCATGTAGCAGCGTTTTTAAACTTGCGATGTGTTTGGATGAATAAAATTATAAAGGAATCAGAAATGACGGAAGTTCAATTTAATAGGCTTGTTTTAAATTAACTTCAATTACATGTTTTGAATATATCGCGTAAATTTTTCATGTGGTTAGGGTTTTTTTTTTCCGACATTTTCTCAGAGAAAAAAGTGTTGAATCTAAAAAGGCAAATAAATGTAATTAGTTACAGAAGGAATAAAAAAGTGTGACCTATTTTGATCGATCTTAACAAAATGCTTACTATCGCTTAATTACTAATAAGTAAGTAGTTAGGTAATTGGGAAGCAGAATGTAATAAACAAAAAATATTGCGGATTTCGAAGTTTATAGCAGCATGTGTAGTTTTGATAGAACTTTTCTTCATTTCATATTTATAGTTAAAACATTGCTTGTACTTTCAAATGGCTTTTAAATATTTTTGGAAGATTATTTTCACCATTCGGGATTTTGCTTTTCTAATTTTTGTTTTTTGGATAGTGGCCTCTTTATGATCCCTTAAAATTACATATTTCCATGTTAATAAAAATAATAATCTAAATTTTTCAATAATTTTCACTAGTCTGGTCGTTTTTTTTTTCGAAATTATGCATAATAGAAATTGTGACCTTCTTAGTAATGGTATTTGAAGACTTTAAAGAACATCATTTGACTTTTTCTATGATGAATAACTGGAAATGATCCTTAAAAAGAATTTCGATGTAAAATTTTTAGATACAGTTTGTCAAAATGACTTGATATGATCGATTGGATACGTGAGAGATTGGTCAGTTTTGGAAATAGGTGGAGATTGGGAGACAATTTTGATTAATTCAAGGTTGTGCAAAATTTTGATTGGAAAGTACAATATTCATGATTTCATTGAAACTCAATAACGGTATAGCTATAATAGATTTTCCAGATTGATGGAAAGATAAAAGATTTTAAAAAAAAAAGAAAAAAACCTGTTTGTCGTATAGATGTGGTATGATGATGTCATACAGACTGCTGAAAATTTCAAAAACAAAAAATTTCCTTGTATTTTTCATTCATTAAATAAAGAAAACAGAGTGATAGTTTTTCCAAACATTGGTGCATTTATTTGGAAGTTTCTATTTTTTTGCTTTGATGTATAATAATTTCCCTTTGAGAAAGTTTTTTAAGCTCATTTTTTTGCTCGTTCATGAAATTTGAAATACAAATTTTAGTTTTTATTATTTCATTTAAATTTCTGTAATTTTTTTAAATCATATGCATTCCGTTATATGTATTATACTGTTTCATTGGGCTAAAAAATTTTCTCTTTTTTTTGTTACTCTCGTCATGTCTCAATTTTAATTTCATACCTACTAATTGATATCTTTTACTAGTTGAACTTTTTAATTTGACTTTACAAGATAGTGATAAAAAATTCGACAAAAAAAAGAAATAACTGTAGTGGTTGTTTGATTCTGAAATAGAATTATTAGAAAATGATTAGTACTGTAAATTGAATTGCATTGAAAATTAACGCGACGAAAGAGCGATTGAAAGCCATTTATTTATTTCATGATATATCCTTTCATCAAATTAAAATTTATATCACTTGAAGAATATATTACATTTTTCTCATATTATGGTAATGAAAAATTTTCATATTGATGTAGCTAATATAGGTGCTATTATTCGCGGATATTTATTGTTCAATTTATTCACATTTAATTATTGATTAGTTTGAAAATCTCGACTAATCCGTGTAAACTTCAAATTTGAAGGTAAGAAGAATGAAAGTTAAATTTTAATAATATGGCGAATTTATTAGAGGAACATTACGAATGGAATGTATATTTGTTACTATTTTTATCTTATAATTTACGCGAATACAGGCTTTGTGGTTAGTTTCTCTTTTTTTTTGCTTTTAATTTCATATGATAATTGAATACTCCATTAATGATGTCATATGACATTTTCCTGGTATTTTATGTTTTAATGATATTATCACATTTACATAAAGCGGCTGTTACCACACTATTATATCAAAAATTCTTCAATCTCAATTCATATCAAATTCTATGATATCATTAATTCTTACAAATGTGAAAAATCTTTTGGGCTGTATTTTTTATGTATCTGATAAGACTATCAAAAGATTCTGTCGGCGATAATATCCGTCGTTTGTCTGTAATATGAATAAAATTTTGTATAATAGCTTTCTCAATGTTGGGAATTGTTTCCGCATAAATGAATTTTTTTTTAATTTTCTCATTTTCTCATTACCATGTAAATTTTATTA